ATGCCGTTCTTCTAAGACTGCTAGGGTACAGTCTCTGAAGGTTTATTCATTGGAGCAAGAGGCTCCATGAGGCTAACGTCAGCAAGCTGGGACTAATGCCTGGATGAAACCTGGAAAGCAGGTTGGGAAGGCTGGTAACTTCATCTCACAGGCTGTGTTATTAACATGGAGGGCAGGATATGTCATGAGCATCCACCTAGCCAGACATACCTCTGCAGTCATGCAAAGCAAAGTGAGGTGTGCATGGGCGTGTACACACACACACACACACACACACACCACACACAAATGCCTTGGGGAGGTGCCGGTGTTCAAGGTAGCTTGTGCTAGCATTCCTCTCTTCTAGGTTGCCCCAACTCACATTCTGACTCAGCCATGGCAGAACCTAAGGATCATTCTAGTTCCAGGCACTACAACAGGGGCTACCCAGCCTCCCAGGGAACTTACCCCAAATACCTCCAACAACTTACAAGGTTCGCCCTCCTGTTATGAGACTCAGTGGGGGAACCTCATTGGCTCCTTCGGGCTCCCTCCCCCTTCTTGGTTACAGTACCCCACCCATGATAAGGAGGGCTGCACTGAACCTGGTACAGAGTGTGAGAGGACTAGCAGTAGTAAGTAGATGCTGATGGCCACTCAAATGATGGCATTGTCCCCAGACCACATTTCTAAAGGGTCTTCTGGACCCCAGACTCATGCCACCCCAACCGAGATGAGCCCACTGCCTCATACAGTGGTCAGGACCCAAGCCTCCTTCCAGGGCAGCTCCAAGCAACCTCACCTCAGGGCTCCCACCCCAGCTGACTGATCTTGGCAGGCATTCAAAGCTGTGTCCTTTGGTCGGATTGGTCAGCAACACTAGAATCTGCCAAATCCAGAGGAACCTGGGTCTCCAGCTGTTTTTGTGAACTTGCCTTTTCTAAGTATGCTGCAACAGCAGCCCCCAAGTCAGGTCCCAGAGCATGGCCCCTGTGACCCAGTCAGCAAGTCCTGGTGAGGCTTCCCTCCCCCTGCTGGCTGTGGTCTTTTTAATTGTGTATGCACATACATATGTGAGAGCAGCATCTGTGTGTGGAGTCTGTTCTCTCCTGCCACCTTGTGGCATCTGAGGATCAGATCAGGGCCTGTACATAGGCACCTCTCAACCTGCTGAGCTCTCTCTCTCTCTCTCTCTCTCTCTCTCTCTCTCTCTCTCTCTAGCCCACTAGGTTTAAGTACTCCTTCTTAGCAAGCGTCTCCTAGAAACTATGGCAGCCTCAACTTTCTGGGCTGACCTGCCCTCCACTGTCAGTTTTTATCTTTCTTCCTACACACAACTAAGAGGCAGCTTAAGGACAGCAGGCAAGAGACACCTAGAGTCGTCTGGTACAATGGATACCCTTAGGTACAACCAACCAGCCTTTCAACCCTGGAATAGGCTAAGCAGGGCAGTAGAGGATAATAACAGGACTTTACAATGCACTTTCTGGCCCTAAACAGGACAGAAGGACGTACGTGTGTGTGTGTGTGTGTGTGTGTGTGTGTGTGTGTGTGTGTGTGTGTGTAGAATCAAGAACAGGATTTCCCTAACCCTTCCCACAAGCTAATCTGCAGTTATGCTGTCCAGGGCAGCATAACTCAGGCTCTAGGTTCCTTGGGCCTCCCCCATGCAGCCAGCCCTCCTCAAAAACACTGGCATGGATGGGCCTGGTTCAGAGTGTGAATCCTGCCCCCAAGAGCTCCACCCAACACCCACCTCAAACCTCTGCTACTCATACCTGGGTACCACAGCACTCTCTGAGGGTCAGCACATCCCCAGACCCACAAGACAGAATGTGACTCCCAAGCCTCCTTCCTGTCTAGCACTTAATGAATGGAAGACCAAATCTAGATATACAAAACCACTCAATGGAATAAATCACGGGACACATGTCATCTATTTGAATTATAAAACACTAATACGGTTATAAAAATGGCATGGCACTTTTTATTTTTATAATCAGAAAAATAAGTCCCAAATTCTCAGTTCAGAGGCTGTAGTTGAGCATCAGAAAAGGGGTCTGTCCAGTGTGAACAGAACTAAAGAGAACAGGTACCAGGTATAGTGACTGGGGCCCCTAACCCACTCAGCCCAGAGAGCCCCAGGTAGCCCAGAACCCTCTCTGCTCTGGTCACCTCCCCTTCAGGGGGCTCAATCTAGCCACTGGGACTCCAGGGGTTGGCTGCCTTGAGATGGGACTGGGGGCAGGGGTGAACAACCCCTGATCACAGGTAATGGGCTATGGGATAGGTACAGGCCCAAAGGTGGCTCTGTAGTAACAGCCATAAAAATCAGGGCTGAATACTGTTGTAACAGGGATGAAGTGACTGGATAGAGGCTTCTAGCTGTCCTGTCAGTGCCTCTGGGGTGTAGAAAACCCCAAGAGGTGGGGAAGCAGCCACTGAGTCACAACCCCTTCACATCTCTTATGCAGCTGGAGGATCTTCAAGCAGACACTAACATCATCCCACAGCCAGAAGAAGGTGTGACCTGAAACCTGGTCAACCAAATCCACACTATGGCCTGAGTCACCAAAGCCATTCTGCACAGGCAGGGAATACAGTGCGTGGGAAGTGGGGGGCAGGAGAGTGAGGCCTAGGCTGGCACTCCATCACACATGCCGGGCATACATGTACACACCACTCACACCTGCACACAAGCATGAGAGACTCAGATGCAAAGACATTGTTGGCAATTAAGAGGCACCAAAAGATGCTGAAGGATCCCAACAGTCTCCAAGTCCTTGGGGTGGCTGTGTAACCTCTCCTAGGAGTTAGCTGTCCAACATAAAAGCAGCACATGTGACGAGCACAGTAACAAGAGGCCTGACACCCATAGAGGGGACAGTAGAATGACGGGATCACATGGAGTTCATTTCTCCTTCTGATGCGATGAGCCTGGGCCTAATCTTGGCACAGCAGGGCTCCTGCCTTGGCCCCAGGCCCCAGTCAGCCAAACAGTCTGGAATCAGCCTCAGGGCTGTCTAAGAAAGCATCTTAGGCCTAAAGAGTAAAGGTTCTCACTAGTGCAGCCCAATTATAGCATGACAAATTCACCCAGGGAGTTATCTACAAGCCTCAGGCTCCAGGACTCACAGATGGGGCTTGGCGGGCCACCCCTGGGGCAGAGTGTCGAGTCCACTGTGTCCTCAGGGGTCTGAAGGGATGGCCCAGTATTGAAGGCGGGGGCTGTCGGGCTGGTACCAGACCCAGTAGGGACTGCCGCCTAAGCTGACAAAGGGGCCTCAGAAGAGGCTGGGGGGCCAGGCCCGGCTGCCCCAGAAGTGAAGGGCGATCAGGTAGGGGAAGTAATGGTTGTGGTTTGCGAGGTTGGTCTGGGCCCAGAAGTGACCTCAGGGGCTTCTTTGGGCCCATGAGGGGCTGTTTAGGTAGGTGGGATTGCTCCGGGCTAAGACGTGGGCACTTCTGTTGCTGTGACTGTCTAAGGCTCAGCAGGGCAGGCTTGGGAGGGCTACTTTGCTCTGGGCCTTCAACCAATTGCTGGGGCTGATTGGGGCCCACCGGTGACTGCTGGGGGCAGCTAGACTGGCCCAGGAGGGATCTATGGGGCTGGCTCTGCTGACGTGGGGCCAAGAGTGCCTGCTGGGGGCAGCAGCACTGGCCAGAAAGGCAGCTGGTGGGATGACGACGTGGTTGCAAGGTGAGAGTCCCAGGGGGCTGGCATTGCTGACACTGGGCTAGCAGAGACTGTGGGGGCTGGCAGGGCTGTCCTGAGGCAGCCCTACAGGGCTGGTCACAGAGACACAATGTGGTCCATGACTGCAAAGGTCGGCAACGGTGCCACACGGTCAGTAGAGACCGGCAGCGGTGACATGAGGTCAACAGGGACCGAAGTGGATAGCGATGCCATGGAGTCTGGATGGACCGCAGGCGCTGCCTGGAGCCTGGAAGTGCCAAGAGTGGCCTGCGGGACTGAGCCAGGCGTGAGCGCTGGGTCTGGCTGAGCTGATCTGGGGCCGGAAGCAGATGCTGGGGCCGGTGGTGCTGACCAGGGCCCAGAAGTGGGCGCCGGGGCTGGCAAGGCTGTCTCAAGCCTAGAAGTGATCCATGGGGCCAAGCACGCTGACCCAGGGGCGGCCGCTGGGGCTGGCAAGGCTGCCCCGGGGCCGGGAGGGGCCCCTGGGGCTGGCTGGGCTGGCTGGGCTGTTGCTGCTGCTGGTGCTGGGCCGGGCCGTTCTGGTGCCAGGGGCTGGCTGGGAGCGGCCCCCCTTCTGGGGAGCACACCTGCATGGAAGAAAGAGTATGTGTCCACCTGGGCAGGTGTGCCCGCGGACCCCCCCATCCAGCCCAGGCCCAAGACATGCTTGCTATTCCCTCTCCAGAGCCCAATACCCAAGGGAGCTCAGAACAGAGCCTTAACTGCAGAGAAAGGCCCTTTTCCATAAAAAGAGGGCATAGGCCTAGGGTCCCCAGGAGGAACACAGCTGCAGCACTGAGCCATGACCCAGGCTCAGGGAGCCCAGCCCAGTTTCCACCTGCTGTAGGGGGGGAGCATCCTTTTTCTTGGTTTCTCCTTTCACTGCTGGGCCACCAACCTGAAGCCTTTGGCCAAGCATCCCCCTCTCTTAGCAGGAGTCTGATCCCCACATCCATTTATAGAGACACTCTAGATAGATGTCTCCAGACACCTAGTCGGCGGAACCTGACGGACGCAGTGGGAAACGGGGCCGGCCTATCAGCTTGGCACTGTCACCCATCCTGGCCAGCATACACCCCTGTACTCCTGGGGAGAAGCAATAGCACTGGCCAGGCAGGCCTTTCCAGCTGGGCGGACAGACAGATCCCCGAACCTCTGTGACCAGCCTGGCTCCTACCTGTCTACCCCACACCCCAAGCCCAGCAACGATGGAGTGCATTGCCAGGCAGGCCAGACGCCGAAGGGTGGGGTCCAGGTGCATGTATGGTCCTGATGCAGATCCCGCCACTGCAAAGTCTTGAGTAAGGGAGGGCAGGATGCTCACCTGTTGGGAGGGCTGCAGTGGGACCTTCCTAGTCCCTTCATCACAAGTGGGCTCTGCATCCTGCCCCGGACTGCCCACCTCCAGGGGCTGCCTGTTTTCACTCAGCTCAGCAGATGGGCAATTTTCTGACTCTCGGGGCTTCTTGACAAGGCGTTGATCCCATTTCTCCTTCCGCTCATGTGGCTTCAGAGCCATATCCTTCTGCAGAGGAAGAAGGAAATGTCTGTCAACCTGTGGGAACATCCTAGGGAGATAGAGCAGGCTCTCAGGTTGTGGTGACTCTTCAGGGGAAGGAGCCTCTAACCTGAAAAGTCATGTCTGAAGGGAAATGGACAGGTGATGGCTGGATGATGTGGGAAGACCCCAAGTTCCCAGAATCTTCATGTGTGGCATACCTGAGAATTCTGAGGTAACACACTGGAAACGCTCCCTGGTGACATGCTATATAGAATAGGAAATGCCCCCAGGCAATCCCAATTCCTCATAGTTCCTTCCCAGTGACATACTTCATTCCACAGGAGCACCACTACCCAGGAGACTGCAGAGAGCTTTGCCAATTATCCTTCATGTTGTCAAACTTCAAGGTCATTGCAGTCAGCTAACCCTGTCAGTGGTCATCTATCTGTTCCCCTATGTTCTGTGGTCCCCATTTCTGCAGCAATGATCAGCACTGATCACCAATGGTGGCACAGAAATGAGGTAAACACTCACATGCAACTCCCCCACCCCCAAGCAGTGGCCAGGGAAGAGGTCTACAGAAAGACAAAACCTTCCAAAAGACAAATAATCTGTATGTAAGAGAACATCACAAGGAAGCCAAGGGAGGACCACCACAGAGCCACTCTATCCTCACAAGGCCTCAGAGGCAGACCCACCATGCCTCTCCCTCCCAGAGACAGAAGATTTGAGTTTCCTGCCCTGCCTTTCTAACTTGGACAGGTCAGGACTGAGCATAAGGACCTTCTACAATACACAAATATTTTACAGGTCCTGATTTCATTGTTCCCATACTGCAGACTTCTAGTCACCTTTCCATAAAGGCCCTGGGCTGTCGAGACTGCCCTGCTGCTAAGGGCTGAGGAAAAGATTTACAGGAACTCTGATGTTATAGCTGTGATGGGGCTTACAGGGTGTTTTATACCCAAAGTCTAAATAAACTGAGGTCAACTTTAATGGATACCGAGCAATGACAGTCTCTGACTAGGACACCAAAGGGTTATACGGGAGGGAACAAGCCTGGACTTCCCCAAAAGCAGAAGGCAGAGGGATAGAGGAAATAATCAGACAGGGATGCTAACAGTCAGTGAGTGCAAATCAAGGCCCAGACCCCTACCAAGGGCTTGAATTTACTCTCTGGTACTTTGCTTTTAAAAAGATCAAAGACTTTATTGGCCCCTCCCATTCTGTTGGTTCACTTTCTGGCCTCATCCTGCACACAGGATTGTTTTCTTGGTCATCTGCCTCACTTAGCCAGCTCCTACCCCATGACAAGAGAGCTTCAAATTTCCCTTCACGAAGGGATCTTGTGTGTCTACTCCCCTAAGGGGAAAAAAGGTGACTCACTCAAGGGGTACTAGCAAGGCTGTCCCCAAACCTCAACTCCGAAACTCTTGGTGTAAACCAACTTTGACCTTGCATATTAGGAGGGCATAGAAAATGCTCAAACACCACCTAGACTATCTGAAGAAAAATGGGTCATTCTGTCTGGCCATTCTGGAGCTTAACCCTGGCCACAGCACTGCCCAGTAGAACCTGTCTCTAAAAGCCCTGACTTAAGACTACCAGTGACGGAAGGGACTTCAGTGGCATAACCTGAACTTAGATCACACCACACAACACAGGGCTGCCTTTAGCAGTGCCCCATGGTTGCTGTGCTACAATCTACCTCCCTCTGCAGGGTAAGCACTGAAGCTCAGAGAGGTTTTGCACTCATAAGCCTAGGCCCAGGCAGCCAGCACTGGAGCATTGGACTGCAGACTGCAGCACCAGGTTCAGGTACCCCAGGCTTAAGAGAAAACAGGGCTATAGACTAGCTGTGAGCCAGGGAAAGTGTTGGCCACTTACAAAGGTGCCAGGACACCAAGGAAAGGCTCAAAACGTTCATGGATTGCAGAAATGAAACCTAAGTTCCAGATGAGGAATAAATTCTAGTATAAGCCCTGCCTTAGGCATTCTGCTAGACACTCATTGGATCCACATACTGAATACTTTAAAAGCAAATCCAGACACGGGTGCTCAGAGAAGTCATTCAGAAAGACAGACTGGTCTCTGGGGCACCAGAGCTTTGTGCAACCAACCTCTACTCCAGAACCCTGGGGAATGCCGGATCCTGTCTGAGGAGTCTGGCAGAAGCCAAACACTGGGAGCCCAAGGAAAGAGTCATCCTGTCAGGACCTGTAGCTACAAGATAGAGTACACATAGTAGACCTGACTATTGTGTACTTCAGGATTAGCCACCAGCAGTCAAGCCCACACACAAGGCCCTGTTTGTGGCAACAACCCCACAGTCACACCAGGCTTCAAACGTGTGATCCCTCCTCAAGAAGAATAGCAAAGCTGGGCGGTGGCGCAGGCCTTTAATCCCAGCACTCAGGAGGCGGAGGCAGGCGGATCTCTGTGAGTTTGAGACCAGCCTGGTCTACAAGAGCTAGTTCCAGGACAGCCTCCAAAGCTACAGAGAAATCCTGTCAGAGAGAGAGACAGAGAGAGAGAGAAAAAAAGAAAAAAGAGGAAAGGAGAAAGGAGGAGAAAAAGGGATAGAGAGAGAGAGAGAGAGAGAGAGAGAGAGAATAGCAAAGCTGGGTGCCTAGTAAAGGAAAGGGCCCATTCAATTTTCTTTCTGGCTTTTTGAGACAGGGTTTCTCTATGTAGCCCTGGCTGTCTTGGAACTCACTATGTAGACCAAGCTGGGCCTGGAACTCAGAGATCCACCAGTCTCTGCCTCTTAAGTGCTAGAATTAAAGGTGTGTACCGCTACTGCCCAGCTTCCAACCCTCCCATTCAATTTCCTAATGATGACTTAACATGACTGTTCCCACTGTGTTACTACTATGCAATACCAATAAAATTTCTATTTGTACACAGTAAACCAACCACGAGGAGACTTACTTCTCTCAAGAGGCCAAGCTGCTTACCCCTAAGGCTCAGCCCCATCCCCTTTAGCCAAGAAGGTACATGCTCACTCTTACTCCTGTTATCAACAAGTTTAAGGCTGTTCCCTTTGGTAAAGCAGGAAGGCTTGGCCCAAGAATAATCGGTCTGAAGCCTTGTTCCCAGCTTCTCAGCCCACGTGACAATATTGCCCCTGGAAATCTGAGTCTGGAGTCCCAGAACCTTGTACAGGCAACCACTCCTCCAGCACTCCAGGCTTCCTTCTTACCAACTACTTAAAAATCCCAGCAGCCCTCCTCATACATCCCCTCATGCTTAATCTACTGTTTACTTGTTCTCTGGGCTGCAGTCTATCCCAAGTTCAAGGTCTCCCTACAGTCAGTCCCCTGACTCCAGGGAGTAGCACCAACCTACTGCCATGACATCTTCATTGCTTCTCTGGCGAAGGAAGAAACAGGGGTCTCCCATTTAGATCTCCCTCTCTTCAGCTTACCTCCTCTCCCAACAGTCACTCGTTCCCAAGGAAATGTCCATCTCCACAAGCCCTCATGACCATTCCCCCCATCTGAAATCTCCAGGTTCATAGATAATCACCTTCATACCCTCTACCCAGCTGCCAGCAACCAATGCTTCAGTGTATAGGCCAAGGTTCCTGAGTGTCCTGTGACTAGTGCAGGATGCTGTACGATACAAAGAGGACCATGCTGCTACATAACAGACCTACTGCTACAAGTGCTGGGGTTCAGGAAATGTTGGGGAGGCCAGAGCACCAAGGGATCCAAGGACCACAGCCCACCCTGCAATTCCTACTCAAAGTGTTTTTGAGCCACTCACCAGGGTTCTGGCAAAGATCTTAGTCCAGCAGCTGCACTGCACTATGTATGCACAACACTGTCTGGGCACAGGTCACCTGGAGACTAGAGAAGACCTTACCCTATGGTGAGGTATAGAAGGCATAGGTAGAGCACTGATGTTAGCAGCACTATCCAGGGAGGAGCATGGAGGCCACTTGCTTGGGTTCTACACCAAGCTACTGCATTATGTCCACCTTGCTGGTCGGAGCAATGGTTCTGAAACCAGTCTCCACAGTCCTTCCTTCTAGCTTCAATTTGTTGAGAAGCCATGGTCCATTCAGATAGACTGCAGCCTTGGTCTGTGCCTTTTTTTTCCCCCCCTGGCATGGCTGTGAGGACTGAGACCTAAAACAGGGCCAATGAATGAGGGAGATGACTTAAGGGTAGCAGTTTGCCTGAAGGTAGCTGTAGGAGGGACCTATGGGACCTCAGTTCTGACCCCATGGCCTGCTTGGGGACACTCTTTTGTGAGGGTATAGGCTCTGTGTACTCTGAACACACACAATTTCCCACAGCCATAAAAAACAAGAAATTAGATCTAGATTTGAGCAAGGACAGTGAATAGGGGGTGGGACCCAGATGAACAAGGTGGTTCCAGAGCAGAGACAAGCTTCAACCTATGTGGCTAAGGCAGGGAAGGGGAGAAGGTCTGGGGTTGTAGGGCAGAGCCAACGTCCCTGCACATGGCTGATGCCTGCTCCAGGCTATCCTAGGTGTGGCAGCCTTCAAGGCCCTTTGCCCCAGTCAGTGTTCTCCCATGAGGTCAGCACTTAGAGGGACAGTCTGCCCTGAGACTTCTCCCTGGCCTATGCTCGCTCAGCCAGAAAGCAAGGCAGGCCACCAAGCCATCTGTCCACAACAGTACTTTCTCCTCCAAGTCCTGGGAAGACACACCTCAGGTCTGATTTCTGCCACACTCTAGGCCCCTCCGAGCTTCAGCACAACTGCTGCTCAGCTGTTGTCCAGGGTGACCCCCATAGCCCCTCCTGTAGCACAGAGGCAGCTGAAGCCAGCCTGGATATTTCTGATGCCTCATGCCTGAGACACGAAAGGATCTGGGTGAGTTTAAACGAGTGGGGGAGGTGCAATAGGCAAGCATTCAAACTGAGCCTGCTCTTCCTCTCTGCACTGGAGACCACCAGACCACCAAGTGGTCGAGCTCTGGATATAGGTCTAGCAGGGTCTGCCTGAGGTAGACGGAGTCTAAAAGGAAGACAGGGGACCAATGCATGTTCA